TTGGAAACTGTTGTTGCAGAGTTCAGTGAAATCGTTCAAAGAACTCGAACTGCATTGCACCCGTCAGTTGTCAGTTCTGAGGCATGACGTTAGGGTTTTGTTTTATTTTGTTTATGCAAGAACATAATCACTCATCTGTATGTCCACGTTTGTGTGTCCACATCTTTCTGGTAAACATTGTTCTAATTAGTCACTCATTAGCGTTTTCAATAGGGCTCTTAAGTCCAGTAGATTACGGGTAGTCAGTTGACGAAGATCTGGTTTACAAGAACTAATTAAATGTTTCATTGCATTTTTGTAAGAACATAGAATAATTTTATAAAATGTTTGTAGTTTATAATTGCTGAAAATAATTTAAAGACACTTTTTTTTTCTGTGTGTGCAAATATGTGTTTGTGATCCATTTTTTTAGGACACCTGTTTACTAGCTAGCTTTACAATATGCCAAAAAAAAAAAAAAAAAAAAAAAAGGATTTTTCCTGACCCAGGCCGTGGTTCACCCTCTTTTCCCCCATGCTTTGTGCCCTAGTTTATAACAAAGGAATGATGATTTAAGAAGTAGTTCTGTATCTTCAGTATCTTGGTCTTCCAGAACCCTCTGGTTGGGATCATCTTTGGTCATTTCCCTTTGGAGTGTAGCTACTTTAACAGAGAGAACCTCATTGGCCAAGGACACAGCAAAGGTGTTGCAGCTCAGCAGTGCGTTTGGCACTCCTGAGCATCTGGTTTGGTTGGTTTGGTGGTTCCCATTGTCGTGCAATGCCCAGAGAGGGAAGGACTTGATGGCACAACTAACGGTTTCACAGTGATCACAGCATACATACAAACTTATCACATGAATGATGGTAATTCTGGTGCACACAGGTCGTTTGCTTACATGCCTCATATTGTGATTAGCGCTTTGTTATAACAAGGAAGAAACCCTATTTATTTTATTTAAGGCAGAACACTGAAGACACATTTTTCTAGTCCAAAACAAGTCCTTTTCAATAAAAACTACACACATGAAAATGTGTTTCAGTTGAACTCCATTTCCTCTAACTCCCAATGGATTATTGGCCATGTCTACACTTCTCCACAAAAATCTCTATCATTAGAAACATCTGGATGCTTTGCACTACATGGGAGAAAGGTCCAGAAACATTTTTGTTTTCAACTGTTCAGTCAGATGTTTGGCGTAGCATAGACACATCCACAGGTGGAATAGATGCTTGGCAAAAACACCTGTCTGCTTTCTAAGCCAGTGAGGTTGAGGTGAGAGGTTTGCCAGAGTATGTCTACCTCTGGGACAAAAAACAAACAAACAAAAAAAAAACTCAAACCAGAAGGCGCAATGGAATGGATGCATCGCAAATAATGCATTTTCTGAGTTTTCTTGTTTAAAAAACGTTTTTTAAAAAAGTAAAAAAAAAAAAAAAAGTAATAACATGGCCAATTTGTTACATAAAATGACTTTCTGTGTATAAATTATTCCTAAAAAAAAAATTCCTCTGTTTATATAAAAAAAATCAGTAGATGAAAAAAATTTCAAAATGTTTTTGTATATTCTGTTGTAAGAATTTATTCCTGTTACTGCGATATACTCTGGATTCTTTACATTATGGGGAAAAAAAAGAAACTTTGTCTATTTTGAATGGCTGAAGCTAAGGCAACTTTAGTTTCTCTTACTCTGCTTTTTTCTAGTAGTTAAAGTACTACATGGTTTAAGTTAAATAAAAGAATTCTGTATGCATTTTTGGTCTCTGATTTCGTTCCTCTCCCTTTCTGGAAGGATCACCACGCTTCTGAGGCAGGGAAGCTGAGCTACGTGTGGCATGTGTGTTCACACATGTCGCTTGGAGGTGTTCTGTGTGAAGGCTTTGCTTTATTTCTGACAGCTGAACCTTCTCAGCATGCAAATTGCTGGGGAAGACAAGGAAGCTATTCTGTTTCTCACTCCATTAAATCAGCTAGAAGAAAATTTGAATACATAAAATATAGAAATCTGTTTTTGACTGATTTGGAGACTTTTCCTCTATCTTCCACTGACAAGTCAGGCCAGGGCAGGTTTGCTGTAGGTGACTCTGGGACAAAGGACTTAAACTTCACATTTCCTGTCCTGGCTGGTACCTCACAGCCACCATACCTACTCAGGACGCAGGGGAGAAGCAAGTAAGCAAGCACACAGAGGACGTGGCTCGCTGGAGGTGTTCAGAAGGTTACCTTCTAGCTGATGATCTTGGCCTGTCCCCGGGCCTCTACCATCCAGGCATCTTTTTTTTTCCCCCAGGGGAATGGCCATAGTAAAAAATGTGAATATATGTTCAAAGGAAACAAGCTGTAAGTGTTGTGGAATCACACCAGAAATGTATAGACACATCAGAAGGGCAAGCTGATCATTTCACTGAACTTTGATCATAGGAAACTCTACTCCAGGAACAAAGCCAGGCCACCATATAAAAAGTCTAAAGAGCCAGGTGGAGGTGGGAGACAGAAATCAAAGGCCACAGTTATTTAAGATCTAGTGAGTCTCACAATTATTTGGATCTAAAGACAAAAGGCCTTTCTCAGAGGATTCTCTCAAGCCCTTGGTGTTGCCCTGGGGTTTTTGTTCACCATTGTCACGGAGTGGCTGGCAGTCAATGGTCAAAGTAGCTCAAGGCTCATTCCAAGGTACATATGAGCAAGCCTATGAGCGGCCAGCAAGGGGGACCCAGGAGTCCATCGTGGGCTCCTATGTGCCCAGGCAGGTAAACCTGTGCTTTCAGCTAGCTGCGGCACCCTGGCCACCTGTCCTCAGCCCCAGGCAGCAGCAGTCTCTTCTCTGGGTAAAGGTGCTGAGTCTTCACAAGTGCTAACACCTCCTCTACCATGCCAATTTTTTTTTTAATTTTTATTTATTTATGATAGTCACTCAGAGAGAGAGAAAGAGATGCAGAGACACAGGCAGAGGGAGAAGCAGGCTCCATGCACCGAGAGCCCGATGTGGGACTCAATCCCGGGTCTCCAGGATCGCGCCCTGGGCCAAGGGCAGGCGCCAAACCGCTGCGCCACCCAGGGATTCCCCTCTACCATGCCAATTTAAGGCCATAGATCCAGTGGGGCTCTGTGTGTATCTACCCTCACAGGTCCAGCTACAAGCCCGCACTTGGGTGTGTCTGTACAGGATGTGCTCATCACTGATGGAATGGTTTCACCGGATGTTCACAACTCTGCAAAGGAAGGATTTATTTTAATAGATAACCAAGCACACAGAAGTGCCCAGAGACTCCCCCCATCCCCCAGTAAGTGACCAACCCCCGAGTTCAAGCTGTTCAAGCTGCGTCAGCTTTCAAACAGACTCAGAACCACCGCGTATCAGCCACAAGTAAACAGGCCCCAGTAGGCACCAATAGCAGATGGCAGGCTGCTTAGACCAGGAGGTGAATGGGGCCTTTGGGATTCTTCCTCAAGAACACCGGAGGGCACACAGGGAGAGATGATAACGTTCACCAAGAGGGAACGTCTTGGTGGGCCTCCCCAGTGAGGTGACATTTCAAAGTTTATAAAATGTGTATGTGTATGGCTTGGTGCCAAGCAATCTGAAATAACACTGAGACAGGGTCTCAAGGCCCCCTGCTTGCCCCGGGCCTGAGACAGAAGCTACAATGCGGGAGGGGGACAGGGCTCTGGGTAGCAGGTGTTTGCCTACAAATGCAGAAGGGTCTCCACGTTAACAACCGTGCAGCTGGACCTACACATGCTGGCCATACCATCCCACCCCACTTGGCTGGCTTTGGTCTGCTGCAATGTGACTCTGATTTGTTTTATGTCAAATAAGCCAGTTTTCATTTGCAAAAAGGGTTCTGTAAAGTCTGTACCAAAGGCTCAAGTATGCTAGAGAGCTAATGATAAAACAAGCAAGGCCTGCCCGGTTCCTTTGTTATTATTAAGTTGCAAATGCTTTTCCTTATAGTAAAAGGGCAGCCCTGGTGGCGTGGCGTGATCCTGGAGACGCTGGATCCAGTCCCACGTGGGGCTCTCTGTATGGAGCCTGCTTCTCCCTCTGCCTGTGTCTCTGCCTTTTTCTCTCTCTCTGTGTCTCTATGAATAAATAAATAAAATCTTTTAAAAAAAAGAATCTAGACACTAAGTAAACGATGTTTTTTTTAAGATGTAATTATGTGAAAGTGATAGCTGTGAGCACAACACCGTAACAAGAAATTTCCCAGACCTTAGCCACCTCAACCCCTTCCCCCAAAAATCAATGTATCTCAATGGATGTTTGCCCCCAGAAAACACTAAACATGTAAGACCTTGCTCTGAGCAGCTTGACACAAGACCCAGCACAGTGCTTGCCCAAAGGCAACATGACAGCTGAAAAGGGGAGATTCTCTTTCTAAAAAGTAGGGATAACACCCAACATGGCAGAGAAGCCAAACCTAGCTAGTATTCTTTGCTTTAAGAGCAAATACTACTAATAGGAATATAAAATAGCACAGCTGCCATGAAAACTGTATGGCAGTCCCTCAGAAACTTAAATGTAGGATTACCTTATGATCCAGCAATTCCACCTTTAGGGATATAAATAAAGGAACTGAAACTGGGGACTCTACATATCTTTGCACACCAGTGTACACAGTTGTAGTATTTCCAATAACCAAAAGGTGGAAGCAACCCAGTGTCCACCAAAGGATGAATGGATAAACAAAATGTGGTCTATATATACAATGATATATCACTCAGCCTAAAAAAAAAGGAAATTCTGATACACGTGGATGAACCTCGAAGACATTATCCTGTGCGAAATAAGCCAGTCAGTCACAAAAGGACAAACAGTGTCCGTTATACGAGGTCCTCAGAGTAGTCAAATTCAGTGATGGAGGGTGGAATGATGGTGGCTAAGGGCTGGGGGGAGGGGGGATGTGGTTTAATGGGGACAGAGTTTCAGTTGGCAATGTTGCGAAAGTTCTAGAGATAGATGGTGGCGATGACTGCACAAGTGAATGTACACAAACAGTGAATTGGTGAAAAGGGTAAATTTCATGTATGTATGTATATTAAACACAATTTTTTTTAAAAGGAGAAAAAAAGAAAAACCAAACACTAGAGACGCAGTGATCAGAAGCTGCACACAACACCTGGATGCATGAGTCTGGGGGCCAGAAAGGGGGTATTGAGTGGCCACTCCGCCTGTATTTCCCCCTGGCCAGCTGGTCACAGATCAACCCATCACATACAGCTCTGCCCAACAGGTCTGTGGCTTTGGCAATCTGGGCAGGATCACACTGGCTCCTGCACAGTTTTAAGAGAAAAAAAAAAAAATTACTAGGATTTCATTTTATTGTCAAGAAAACCATAACTGAAGCTAGTTAATCCCTTGTGAAATGTCTGCCTTTGAGTGTTCTTCTTTCTTCTGACAATAAAATAACCCTTTGTGATTTCTTTGGGCTAATTCAGAGCTTTCTTCCTCTGTGTAAAAGGTTTTACAAGCCATTTTTTAAAAGTCTCTTAAAGCACAGTTGAACTCTGCACACAAGATTGAAACATTTAATTTTCTCTAAAGAGGCAATCCCCCAATTGCCCTCCCTGGGCTGGAATCACCGAGGTTGAGTTTTCTGCAAACCAGGCTTTGAGCTCAGGCTTTCTCATCTCCTCCAGCATGTCCTGGATGATGACTTGCAGGGCTTTTCCCAGCACACTGGCTGGGAGCCAATGGGATAACGGAGGCACGTGGATGAGTGCCGCGCGCCCATTTCCATGATGCAAAGACAGGTAGTAGGTGTACTCGCAGACGTATCTGCAACCACACGAAATGCCATGTTGTTACTCCCTGGGACAACCTCTAACCCCAGAAAAATATAAGGGGACAATGCAGCATCCCCAACGCACGAGGAAGTCACACTGCCACCCCGGGGAGACAGGTTTTGCTGCTCTGCCTCCGAACGACCCCTTTGCTGGGGATGAGCCAGGAAGAGACTGATTCTTGGTCTCATGGTCCCACAACCACCAAGTGGCGGGGCCTGGGAAGGGACCCGATTTTCAAGCAACCACTCCAACACACCTTTACACCCCGAACCCCCCTCATTCATGTCTACTGAGTCACTGTACAGTGGTTCGCTGCATATTCATTCTTTGGGGGGGTGGGGGTGGAGAAAAACTACCTACTGGGGGTCAGAGTTTAGAGACCAAGGCGATTTATCTCTACGTGGGGCTAAAGCAGAACAGTGAGCTCACACCCGGGCCCGATAAAGAAAAACAAAGCATCCACAAAACGCTGGTGGCCCCCGAAACACGCCTTCGCGTCTCTTGCCGTCTGTCCACGCACCGGAGGCCGGGGCGGGGCGGGGCGGCCTGGGGGCCCCGGGGCGGAGACCCGGGCGCGGGGACATCGCGCACGTGGGCAGCAGCTGCCCCGGGGCGGCAAGTGCCCAGCCAGGCGGCACAGGGCGGCCTCCGCGACAGACGCGGCCATCCCGGGCCCCACGACCGGACGCCGGCGGGACGTACCTGCCAGCATCTCCTGAAACGGCCACGGCCACGCCCTCCGGGGCCGCGCGCTTGCTCGCCGCCCTCGCGGTGACCCCGGACGCGACCACTTCCGGGCCGCCCGGAAGACACTCCCCGCGCGCCGGCCGGAAGCCCCGGACGTCGGCGTCCCGGTAGCCGTGGTTCTTGGCGCGCCGCTCCAGGAGGATGGCCTTGGCCGAGGCGTCCAGGCCCACGTGCACCGCGAGCTGCGCCAGTAGACGCGGCAGCCGGGGGGTTAGGGAAACCGAGGCCGGCGCTGCTCCCCGGGCTGTGGCCGCAGGGCCAAGCCCAGCGAGAGCACCCAGAGCCCAGCTCGGGGGCGCCTGGGGGCTCAGGGGCCAAGTGTGGGCCTCGGCGCCCCGGGGTCCACCCCCCCCCGCCCCCCAGTCGGGCTCCCCGGGGAGCCTGCTTCTCCCGCGGCCTGCGTCTGCCTCGCTCTGTGCCTCGCATGAGTGAATAAACAAAATCTGTTTGTTTTTAAGGCCCCGTGAGCTCCAGCACACGAGCTCCGGGCTTCCCCGCTGACCTCCGCTCATGAATGTGCTGGAATGGAAAACAGCCGGAGAGAGAGCCGCGTGGCATTCACTGTGACTCCTTTTATCCCGGCAGATACTCTTGCAGGGCGGTGCTCACCCCTTGTTTTCCCGGGGGGTCCCCGCTAGCTAAGACTAGCCCCGGAGGGGCTTAGCATTTCGGGGGAATCTTCCATCTCTCTCTCTTTTTTTTTTAATCTCAGCCTTTTTTTTTAATTTTATTTATTTATGATAGTCACATCACAGAGAGAGAGAGAGAGAGGCAGAGACACAGGCAGAGGGAGAAGCAGGCTCCATGCACCGGGAGCCCGATGTGGGATTCGATCCCGGGTCTCCAGGACCGCGCCCTCGGCCAAAGGCAGGCGCCAAACCGCTGCGCCACCCAGGGATCCCAGAATCTTCCATCTCTTTTATGAAACTCTAATAAAGGAGTTAGTAACAATGTGATAAAATATTGTTAGGATTTTGAGAGCTGATTATTATTTTTCCTCTTTGAAAAAAATAGCCACAGAGCGTTTTATCAAAACACCTAGGACGATTGTCTTAATGGTTTGGCGGTGTGCGTTGTGTTAACCTCATCATCCGGTCTTCCTCCTTCGTGGTTATTTGTACCAGTTTTTAAAATAATGACTCTGTTTGGATTTAAAAAAAAAAAAAAAAGCCAGGTGTGATGAAGATGGGACCTCTCCCGATGGGCCATCCTCCCAGCCGCTCTTCCAGGCCCCAAAAGTCCTTGTCTCTAGCTTCACCTCAGAGCCAACCTGCCCAGTCTGAGCAGGGCTGGGAAATAACCCAAGGGCCTAGCCGTTGGGTGGAAACTATCTTTGAGTCCTGGCAAGGAAGAGAGATTCCATGGATTTTCCTCCTTTTCTCTCTCCCAAATCTTCTTCCAAGATCCACTCTGAATTTTAACTTAAACTTTTACAAACAGACCCAGAACCTTAGAAAAGTGGCTGGGACCGTACTGGTGGGGACATGGGGGCTGGGTGCACCTCAGTCAGCAACCCTAGGTCCAGGGTCCACAGGTTCACAGGCCCTGTAGCTCTGACATCATCACCCCTCACCCCACCCCCCAGCCTCAGGGCCTTCCCGGCCATCATTTACTTGTGGTTGAAGATCCTCCCAGATTCTGGTGACCCTCTGCTTCACCTCCCTGTAGTCTACAGGCAGTTGAAGAATCCGCAGCTCCACCTCCATGCCGCTGTTCAGGCCCAGCCTGGACAGCTCCTGCAGAAAGAAACAGGTAGACTCACCTTTCTTTTTTCTTTTTTTTCTTTTCTTTTTTTTCTTTTCTTCTTTTCTTTTCTCTTTCTTTTTTCTTTCTTTCTTTATTTCTTCTTTTCTTTTCTTTTCTTTTCTTTTCTTTTCTTTTCTTTTCTTTTCTTTTCTTTTTTCTCTCTAAGACTTTATTTATTCATGAAAGACCCAGAGAGAGAGGCAGAGACACAGGCAGAGGGAGAAGCAGGCTCCCTGCGGGGAGCCCAATGCAGTACTCGATTCTGGAACTCTGGGATCACACCCTAAACTGAAGGCAGATGCCCAATCACTGAGCCACCCGGGCATCCCTAGACTCACCTTTCCTGATGGAGGGCTGGGAGAGTCCCTGAAAAGCTAACCCTGGACTCACTCACTCTGTGCCCAGGGGCCTTCTGTGGGCCTTGACCCTGCCCTCAAGGAGCTCACAGGGCTGCTGCTGTGAGGGGCCAGCAGGAGACACAGTTCTTACCTCTCAAGGTCCTGGAAAGCCTGTCCCATTGAGATGTGGGTACACCTGAGGCATATCTGACCTACCCTGCTAGAACATTGTCTGCAAAAGGGAGGCAGAGGAGATGTAGAGAGCAGATGGGAGCAAGCCAGATGAAGAAGCAGGGGAAGGGGGTGCCGGGCAGGGACTTCAGAGACACAGGGGAGCACGAGGGTGAGTCTTTGGGAAAATGGTGTGACTTGGCGCTGGGCAGTGGGCGTGGGGCAGTGGAAGCCTTCTTCCGTGTGTCCTGCACCTCCAAGGACAGGATGGTTAGCACCCCTGGACTCAGCTGAGCATTAACTGCCTGTAGAACCACCAGCATTTTGACAAGTAACCCACCAACACCAAGGGTGTATCGGGGAGCACCACACATGGGGAAAGATGGGAACAGCAGCTAGAAAAGCCTGTGAGAGCCTGATTGAGTGCTCAGCTAGAGGCTGGACTTTAGCTAAAGCAGAAGGGAGCCTGCAAAGGATTGTGCACAGGGAACTAATGGGTCAGAGCTGCCTCCTAAGAGGATAGAGGTGGGAGTGGGCTTGCTGGGTATCACAAGGACTTTGGACCTGCTGAGTTTGAAGGGGAGGGACCTGGCTCCTTGGATCTGTGTGTCTGGAGCTCACAGAGAGGATCCTGGGAAGACAGCGGCATGTCAGGACTGCAAAAACATGGGTCTAGGTGAGATCCGGATGGAGTAGGGTGGGGTGAGGGGGTGGCAGAGAGAGGAAAGCAGGGCTGTGGAGAAAAGGTCAGGGAGCAAGCGCCCTCCTTCACAGGTGGGAGTCTGGAAGGAAGAAAGCCAGGGAGTGAGATGTTAGGCATGTGCTAGTCCCCATTGGGAAACGTTAAATCAGGAACCTAGAGGCCCAGTCCTTTCCCTGCTCCAGGAGCCGTGCTTGTCACCAGGATGGTTTGGGATTAGCACCTCTGTTTTCCCTGACTCCCTTCCCTGGCGCTTCAGGACATCCAGGAGTGTGCATCCTTGGATGGAGGCTGCAGCCGGGGTTGTCAGGCCTGCCCAAAAGGTCACAGGCAGGACATCCCAGGGCCCTGCCCTTGGCTTCAGAGGGGACAGGCAGTGACAATGTGCCCCCTGCGGGTCTGCCTCTGCTGCATTGTAGGGGGGCACTTCTGGCCGACTTTCTGGCGTCTGGGTCAGTCCTCGACCAGCTCAGCCTTCCTGAGGGGCTCTGCTCCACACCCAGTTCCCTCACCTGGCTCCAGTTTTGTTCTCTTCCAAAAGTAAGCACCTAGATCACATCCCCATTTGGGGCCTGAAGGGGGAATTCCTTTGCCTGACTCTGGTGGTGGGAGGTGGGGAGGAGGGCCAGTGGCCTGGACGGCTGGGAGGAAGCAGGCCAAGCCTCCACGTGGACATTGCAAGGGCCAGACACACCAAGGGGGTTCCAACTCCTGTGTCCCCACCTTGCCCCCCCTTCCTGCGGGGAATGAGTGAGACAAGGAGCAGGGAGGCTGCAGAGGCCCGGCCCCTCCGGCTGCTCCCAGTGCAGGAAGCAAGGCCTGGAAGCCATCACTCTTAGGCCACCTTTGCCTTTGTCTTGACAGTGAGGAGGCCATGACTGGGCCCCAGGCTGCTTCTCAGAACCCAAACATCTGCGAAGAACTAGTTTCTTCTACTTGGTGGGGTCCTTACGGAGTCTGACTCTGAGCAAAGGCTGCAGAGGAGCTCCAGAACCAAATGGAGTTGCCTGGGAATCTGCTTTCAGAGCTGTCCGCTGAGAAGCTGCAGTGGCTCAGTCATCAGTGGAAACGTCGATGACTTACGCTCACTAAGCCTACAAAGGCGCTACGCCAGAGAGGTGGGCACATCCACCCTGAGCCAGGCAGGCCCAGTCGGCCCAGCAGCCAGCCGGCTCCGCAGGAACTGGTGAGCGCCTCCTCTTCACAGAGGAATGCAGGTGGCTCCGCCTCTGGGTTGGCATGTGTAAGCCCAGGTTAAAGCAGGCCACGGCGGGAAGTGGGGGGGGGGGCTCTTTTTTTTTCCCTACCTCAGCTTTTTCTTGCCACCCCATACCAAGGCAGTTGAGAGGAGAGGAGAGAGAAAGCAAACCCCTGGACATTTTATAGGTGTCCCAGCCGCTGCCTGGGTCCGGGACCAGCTTTTGGGGGGCTCCCTTGCATGAGTTTCCTGTGGCTGTCACAAAAAAGTGGGTGGCTGAGGACCACACTTGATTATCCAAGCCTGGAGGAAAGAAGTCCAAAACAAGGTGTCGGCAGGAACACACTCCCTCTGAACCTGTAGCCTCACCTGCTCCTTCCAGCTCCCGAGAGCCCCAGGCAGCCCTGGGCTCCTGCAGGGTCTCTGCAGGCCTTCCTGTCATCTTCCCTCTGGGTGAGTCTGTCTCTGAGTCCAGGTTCCCCATTTTATAAGGATGCTTGACCCCTAACACTGTCTGAGGCTGTGCTTCGCAGAGGGTCATGGCATCACTCCTGCCAAAGTAGAAAGTGCAGGGAAGCCAAACTGTAGCCTCCTCGGAATTCACAGAGCCAGCGTGGGATGGACGGCATTCCACATGTGACTTGACACCTCTGTTGTTTTTGTTCTGGTTTGTTTTTTAAATATTTTATTGGGGCACCTGGGTGGCTCAGTCAGTTAAGCATCTGCCTTCGGCTCAGGTCATGATCTCTGGTCCAGGGATGGAGCCCTGCATCCCTGCATCGGGCTCCCTGCTCAGTAGGGAGCCTGCTTCTCCCTCTGCCACTTGCCCTCCTCATGGTCGCTTGTGCGCTCTCTCTCTCTCTCTCTCTCAAAATAAATAAATGAAGAAGACGAGGAAGAAGAAGAGGAAGAGGAGGAGGAGGAAGAAGAGCAACCAGAGCCTTTCTTTATCTGCCAGATGAGGACACAGCCAGAAGGTGGCCACCTGCAAGCCAGGTAGACGGTTCTCACCAGAAACCAAATCTGCCAGCACCTTGATCTCAGGCTTCCAGCCTCTAGGACTGTGAGAAATAAATGTCTGCTGTTTAAACCACCCAGGCTATGAAATTTTCTTATGGCAGCTCGAGCAGACTGATACAGGGGCTTCAGGTCAGTAAGGAGATGGGGCCTAGCAGAGTCTCAGATGCTTGCCCACTCATCCATCCAGCTCTTTATGGAGTTTGAAAGTGCCACACACAGCCTGGGACTGCAGTCAGAATCTGATTTGGGATATTGAGGAACTTTTTCTAACTTGAAGTTATGGAGAGAGTCTCCAGGTACTGCCTCATGTGGACAATCAGCTCACTCTCTCATTCCCTCCCTCCCTCCCTCCCTCTCTCCCTCTCTCTCTCTCTCTCTCACACACACACACACACACACACACACTTTGGTGTCCTGGGCCACCTACACAGTGCCCATGGCAGGCAAAGGAATTTTACCAAATATAAGCCAACTTGATGATCATCACCACCCTCAGCCTAGAACAAGTAGGGTGCGGGGCAGAAGGGGGGCCCAACTACAGTGCCACAGGGAAAGGCATGGGCTTTGGGGTCAGGAAGATGCTGGTTTGAGACCTGGCTCTGCCAACTTCACTGGGTGAACTCAGGCATGTTATTTAGCCTTCATGCGACTCAGTTTAATTCTCTGTGAAATGGGGAGAATGAAAAGTCGGAAGAGTTTTCATGACTATTGAATGAGAGGGTTCCCCCAAAAGTGCCCAGCACAGTGCCTGGCACATAGTCAGGGCTTTATATGAGGGATCAATGCTTATAATTAATCCATATTAATTTGAGAAAGTCATGCAAGGATTTATTGAAAGTGACATTTAGTAGAATTTGATGAGCCTGGGGCCTGTCAGAAGTGGTGAGTGGAACATTCTGCATAAGCAGAAGGCAGGCCTTTTTTCTGCAGAGAAGGGCTGGTTGCTTTAGCACACAGAGCGTAGGTTCTGTGCAAACGTGGAGGGAGCCAGGGGTTTGTGCCTCCCGGACTGGCACACTTTCTCAGCTAGAAGTGCAGAGTGTTTGTGCTTCTGGAGGGCAGGGACAGAGCCTGGTATAACCACCCTGACCACAGTAGAGTCCAGGGTGCTGTGCTAGCTCGAGGAATGACAAGGCCCCATGGGACGCTGAGCGCCCATGCAGAGCCTATAACCCCTCAAAAAAACCCTGAATCCCACCAGTTGCAAAGGTCCTGGGGAAGCAGGGAGCCTGCCTTCTGTCTCCTTCTCCTACTTCTTTCTGTCTCCTCACAGCCTGAAATCTGGTCACCAGGCACACATGGCAGTTTAACAAAGGGAAATGAAAGGAAGGAAAAAAGACACCAGTTGCTCTCTGAATTTTTTTCAAATCCACGGAGGCTGTGGCACCAACTGGTGTTGTAAAACACTTGCTGTTTTTCCAAAATGTGATGCTTCCCCTATCAGATGAAAGTTCGGGACTAGGACCAGCCAGCAAGAATGCATTTCTTCATTCAGTCATTCAGGCTGCAGGGCTGCCTGTGCTCAGCTCAGGGCTTGGCATGCCTCAGAGGGTCACATTCTTA